CTTGTGGAATTCTTCTCTTGATAAAGATTAAGTATCGCTTGAGTACCACAGGTGTCTTTCAATAATGCAGCCAGGATCACAATGTCTATTTATATTAAATATAAGGATATTGTTGCAGAAATGCAAAAGACCTTCAAGCCAAGGTCAAGACGTAAACTGGCTTCAAAGCGTAACAAATCTCCAGGGGCTCGCTCTGCCGAGCACCAGTGACAACGCAGCACATTCAGGTGCAATGAGATGTCATTTATGGAATTGCACCTTTCGACAGCATCCAACAAATGATGCTGTAACGCTGCCCTGCTCTGCGGCACCAATGACCCTTTTTTCCCCCCACACACTTATTACTACGAATTGCACACCGACACCAACTGGCCACCATTTCAACCCAGCCTCCAATTCTCCGGCTAATCGGTGACCATAAATCTGTCTCTGGGAGGTGAACGTAAGCACACACTGTTCCAGTATAAGTATCTGGGCGTACAATCGAGGTCCATTTGAGAAAATGCAGACACTGGTGCATTACCTGGATATCACGCTCAACATTTCAGTGAATTTCCTTCCTCACAATCGCTCTGTAGCTACACTGAAAACACTGTTAAATGCCATGATACTGGCAATCGTGGCTTTAATAGTGGTGGAAAAAAATATTTTATGAAAATAAAGGATCACCTTGGGTCCATTTAGTGTTTGCGCTGCATTATCCCTCCTCTTGTGGATAAGTGGCTTAATGATATTTCTGGGATGCACAGCAAGTGTCCTGGGAAACAAAGGAGATCTAATTGAAGCAAGGCAAGATGGGAAATGACAATCCAAAAAACACACTTTATCACACAGATAGACCACTCTCCTCATAAACCACTCTCCTCATAAAATGATACCAGGGGTTGTTTGCACAAGCTGCTATTTGGACCTATAGTTATGTTAGATGGGAAGGAAGCTCTGCACCTGGATAAGCTAGAAGTTTCTAGTGGATGTGTTGGAATCCACACCATGATGTGCTTCTAAAGGCCCCTACACCCTGAAAGTGCTGAGAAAAAAATGACATTAAATGCCAAATTTTTGGATGCAAACCTTTTATGTAATGTATATATACACAAAATTTGTCTGTGAAATATTTTTAGTGCGCAAAATATTTGCACAAATTTTGCGTTTCTTTACCTTTTCTGTTGTCTTCTGTTACAGCTACCCTATAGGCAGGGGTGCACATAAGTGGTCCGCAGGTGCGCATTCGCTGTCAAAATAAAAGACCAGATAAGAAGTTGCAACGCGCATTTGCGTACATATAAAAGGCAATGTTTTTGTCCTCTAGAGTGGGATTTTCACAGCATATTCTGCACCACATCTCTGTGTGTTCATCATTTGTTTGAAACCAGCTCACCTCCTGCAACCCCTTTTCCGAGAATACACGCTTCTTTTGCGGTTCGGACTCCTTCTGACATTTCTTTGGAGGTGGAGGAACACCAAAGTAATTGCTTAAAGGAGCTTCTTCGACATCTTTAAGAGTTCTAAACAAATGTCTGTCCTCCTCCAGAAAATCTTATGTATGCAAATGTTGCAACTTCTTATTTGGTGCGCGTCTTTTATTTTGACAGCGAATGCGCACCTGTGGACCACTTATGTGCACCCCTGCCTATAGGGCACAAGCCATTTTATTAAGGCCTGTGCTTCTGAAATGACTTTCTCATTCATTTTCTCTATTGACATTTCAGAAAATCCCTATATTCTTAAATAAAGAATATAGGGATTAGCTACAAGGTGGTTTATGAGCCAAATACTGATTCAAAGCCTGGATTTGGATCAGAAAATAAAGTCAGAGGTACAACAATGCATACATAATTACTCCTAAAATTAGAGGAACTACTCATAATAATAAACTGCTGAAAATTCCAGAATCTACAGCAAGTGACCTTTGGAACGTTTTGGAATTAGCTTAACTTAACATTTATGCTGTGAACAGCAGTATATTGGTCCGTGAGTCGTTTGGTACCGGGCCGCGAGAGTTGAGGCACAGGTGTGAAATGTGTGGTTTTCAGGGTTTTTATCGGTTTTCAGCGTTATTTTGTCATCGTTTTTATCGTTAACTCGGTTTTCCTGGGTCTTTTCACGTGTGTTATGAATAAATCTTCTTTTTTTCGGTACCGGTACTAGTTTTATTTTGTTGTATTTATCCGTGACACCTTAAAGGCCGGTCCGTGAAAATATTGTCGGGCACAAACTGGTCCGTGGCGCAAAAACGGTTGGGGACCGCTGCATTAGATTATACATATATAATAATGTATAATGGTAGTTTGTGTGTAGCGTTTGTGCCTGCTCAAGCGGTTTCTAAAGTTTAGCACTGACTAAGAAACCTGACATTTCCATGGCGACAGCAACTTCCACCAGGGATAGCTCAGTAGGTAGAGTGGTGGCCCCATGATCGGAAGGTCGGGGGTTCGATTCCCCTGAACAGCTACCCTGAGGTACCCCTGAGCAAGGTACTGTCCCCCACACACTGCTCCCCGAGCGCCCAATGGCTGCCCACTGCTTCACTCAGTGAATGGGTTAAATGCAGAGAGGAATTTCCCCACGGGGATCAATAAAGTACACCTTCTTTCTTTCAATCAGACACTTTGCTGCCTTATGTTAGGACTGTGGGTAGAGTCATTCTTTTCTGTGACACTGTGAGTGAAACACGTTTTTGTTAAAGTAAGGTTGACATCACACAGACTTATGGTTTCTACAGGAGCTCATACCATCGTTTCACAGTGTCACAGCTACTTTTAGTGGTTACAACATTATGGTTCATGATCAGAATCCCTTTGAAGAATATGAATGAGCCCTGTAGCTGAGCGATTAGCCTTCTACACTTCTACTATCTCATTAAATGCCACATATCATTTTTTTCGAGTACTCGTGCCTGTATCTCACTAACGTTGGTTGTATCAGATTGTAGGAACAAGTGACCGCTTTGATCGTTAGTTTGAGGACTTGGGAATCAAAAGTCAAAGACCCACGCTTTATTGCGTCCACTGCATGCAACTGCTTGTCTCTTTGCTCTGTCACATCTCAGCTATGTGTGCGCTCGTTGCTTTGAGTCTTTCAGATTGAGTTATCTGGGTTATTTTAAGATTACTGGAATTATTCCCCCATCTTTGCTCTTTCCTGCCTCTTTCCTTTGTCGAGAGTTGGATGGTACTTACCATCTGAAATTCACAAATTAACATGATGCATCTTGTTTAATCCCTATAAAAACCTGAAAGGAATGACATAATCAAGCCGCGGCGCTTCAAATAACTTCTTCGCTCTCGGTGACCTCCTGTAGTCTCGCTGTCACTGTGATGGCTTTGGGTAGCAATTAGTATTTCCCAAAAATATTTAGCTTTTTTTTTAAAGCAGGGAAAATGTGATGTAGAAATTATTCATGACCTTTAAGTCAAATTTCATTAAATGAAGCCATGTCAAAATTAATAAATAAATAAATCTTCAGCGATTATTTAAGACTTCCCCTTCCATACACTGCTATCGCCTACATGTCCAGATAACAGGCAGCTATTTATATCTTTAAAGGGCACATTAAACATGTGAGTTCTGCCTGTTCTTTATTGCTGGAGCAACACAACTCAATACTAATTCCTGTGTGACACTGAGCGCTCTAACAAAACCTTGCTAAAAGGTCATGTTTGCTTTGCAAAAATAAACTTAATTACACAAATAATCTGAGATCCCCAATGAGGTTTAGCCAATCTATATGTCAATGCGGCAGCCAGATAAGAGGCGGGAGGTGGTAAATAAGGCATAAACGCAGCTTGTAACTTTGTCCCCTCCCGCCATACGATACTATGCCCCTTCCAGTAATTACCGAACCACTCCCGCATCCCCCTTTTGAAATTTGATCATTGTCTGTCGGTGATAACACACTGTGCCAGACGGTTTATGCAGTGTGGCCTTGGCTCCACCACACTTCATTAGGGAGAGGGAGTGCAGAGAAAAAGGCACTGCGGAGGGATGGAATAGCCACTGCGACCTGCCCGCTCTCCGCTCTGCTGTAGAGCCTACAGAGGCTTGCTGAAGCCTGTTGGGGCAGCAGAGAGCCTTCACCTCGTGTTCGGTTGAGCACGAGGGGAGCCGCAGGGGAAGAAAGAGAGAATTTGGAGATAGTGATCTGGGGGTGCATTCACAGCTGTAGTTTGTTTTGAGAAGCAAGGAGGAGGATAAGAGCCTCTATCCCTGCTTTATACGAGCAAACATGCATTCAGGCGAGCGAAGGGATGGAAAAAAAAGGAGAGGCTGACACAGATGATAATAGATGCTTTTGTTTGGTAAATGCAAATAAACCGGGGGCTTAATGTGAGTTAATGATGTCTATCTAGCCATCTTTCATCCTTGGGGGAAATAATTATTTAATTTCCTGCTGAATTTATTAATCTGCTCACTTACAAAGAAATGTAGGGCCTCTAATTTTGATGGAGGTTTCAGCAGAATATCAGTCAAAACTCCAGAAAGTCCTACATTGATTTGTATGTCATTTGAACCCTGTGTACAACATGACCTAGTACTTGGTGGGTAGGTGCTTCTTTTATTTGGTTTGCTCACATCTCTTTGAACCACTCCTCTTTACAGAAACTCTCTAAATCCTTTTGATTTCTAGGCTGAAACTTGGCAGCTTCAGCTCCCTCCACAGATTTTCTGCAGGACTGAGGTCTGGTCGATCTTCCCCTCATTGCAGTGGAATTGTTACTTGGTCCTTAGCAGGAACACCACAGCATAATGTTGCCGCCTCCTTGTTTCACCGTGGGGATGGTGTTGCTTGGGTCATACTCATGATTTTGAAAGAGCTGGATTTTGGTTTCGTTTGGTCACAGCACCTTCTCCCAAGCTTTCTCTGAATCATTTAGATGTAAACTTTATCTCTGTATAGCTATAAATAGTGTTTCTGGTTTCACCTCAAATTGCTTCAAACTGCAGCTATCATAAATGAGTTATTTGTGGTAACACTCCTCTCCTCTCGCCTCTTTATTAAGGATGAGTGAGCCATACCCGCAGATTGGAAGCAAAGGAGCTCTACTTCTAATGGTGCTTGTCATGAGCGTCTGGGAGATGTCTGTACCAGCAGAAGCAACAACAGGTGAGGAAACAAAAGCAGCTTTTACTTTGCTTCTTAAGTTTTCAGTGGTGGGCTGTAGTGCTGAACTGCTTCTGGGTATCACTGGTCTGGACTTTGAAAACAATTATGACCCAGTCAGTAATATATTCTTTTTTAAAGAATATATTCATAAAAATCATATATTTTTACTGTTTCTTTCCTTCATAGTATTAAAGACTAAGGCTGCTCATTGACTGTCTGATTTAGTGCCACAGTGCAAACCAGCAAGCAAAAAGTATTTTCACCAACAATTTGAGATGAATGCAGAATAATCTGTTTAGAATAACACCAGCTGTGTAACATTGCTTTCTTATCATTGTCCCTCACTCAAAAAGCTAAACTCTATAAATATGGAAATATGTTGGACATGAGATTTCTATCACTTCACTGAAATCATTCTCAGTTTGTGTTTGTGACCTGGAGGCGTTAACTTTCTATGAACTGTATGAATTTTTAGGCTGATTAGACAGCGAGACCTTCCCTCTGTATATGAACGCCAGTGGCAGAAGTAGAAGATTCTGCTCATGAAGAAAGACTCATTTTGGACTGGAGTGGGAGCAAGCAATTGTAATATATATATATTAAAAAACACAAAAGCTAACTAATAAACTGAATTTGAGTAGCTTCCATGTTTAGCTCAGTGATTTACAAAATTATGATGTATGTGGCAGCACAACCAACAGGACCAGGGAGAGAGAGAGCAAGCAAACGCTCTGGTGTGGTGTTTATTTTCAATATAAATCTGGTCTGCTCCACCATGTAGCAATGCTGCCATTACTGTGGTGCAAGCCAGACCAGGAGTGTCCGCTGCAGCAGCAGCACGAATAACTGGACTGACCATTAGTAACTGATGCAGTTATGCATCTTAATAACATCTAAGCAAATTGTTAAGTTTGGGTTTTTTGACAGTAAGTCTTGAATAGTGGCAACACTGTGCTTTAAATTGCTTTCATCAGTGCTGTATGTCCTGAAGCAACAGGGCCAGTGGATTCTCTACCTCGGCTCTCAAACACTGATGTTCTGTAGGTTGTGTCGGCATTTTAAGCTGTCCTTTATGTTGATGCTTTTATCCTCTGGTTGTAAAAATGGAGGTGTATGAAGAGATAACAGGGCAAAGGCCGTGTCAGGAAACATGTTGATTACCAGTCGAGTAAGTCAAAAGATTATCAGCAAGGAGTCTGGTTTGTGTCCCAGTTGGTAACTTTGTGTTTTTGCTCAGTGATCTGTTTTGCTTACGTCACTGGATTCGCTGCTCAGGTTCAAGCTCTGAAACTATTTGGTTGGGTTTAGAAACAGATTGCCACAGCATGTTTGGGTTAAAACATGCTGCTATACCACAGTGGAAAAATGGCAGTGGGTTTATACCAATAATGCCAAGGGACTCACTGCAAGTGCTTATATATCAGCGAGCTATGAGTGACCCATCTCACTATTGCTATAACCTGTACAAAGAACACAATGTGTGCATCAGTGAGACAGCGGTAGCTCAGACAAAACAGCAGCATTCGACTGGAGAAGCAATCCAAGACGTGACCGTTTACATTCAGGTCTTACTTAATGCTCCAAAATGCAACCTTTTGATCTTCACACCTGCTCGAGTCCCGGTGTCCTTGGAGGTTCAAGGCACAAAGTTTTTTGTTCTTACAGCTTACAGCTCTAATACAAGTAATGTGTTACTGTAATCCGATTACTTTTGTCAAGTAACGGGTAAAGTAAGGGATTACTTACTCAAGGTAATTAGATTACTGTTACTTTCCCGTAAGCACGCTGCGTTACTAAACTGTGATTTTGTTTGTGAGAGTGTCTCATGAGTCATGACTGTGACGTAAGCACATGCGACGTCTGTGGTAACAGACGTGTGCAGATATGGAGTGTGGGAGAGAGTACAACCGTGAAGCGTTTAAAGCTTGGAAATACTCACATTACTTTGATTCTGTAAAAGTGACAAAAACATTAGCGTCCGCTGTGCACTCTGTGTGGGAGGAAAACTTCTTTCTAAAGTGAAAAATTAGACTTCAAATCTGAGCGAGCAGCGAGCACGCTGCCACGGGAATGTGACATTCACAGAGAAACCCCTGGATCCCCCCACTGACATGACCACTGTGGGCAAACCTCCACCCGCCCCACTCCTGCTAAACAGGTGACAACAGATTTAAGAGCGACAGGACTCAGTGCTGCTGAATCTTTGATTTATTTTATTTTCTGCTGTGTTTTACGTGCATCTGTTTGAAAGAGTGTGAACACAAAAAATATTTTTTTAAATATGCTAGAATATGCAGAAAATTGGTTTAAATGTTCAACAATTTCTTTAAGTCAAAGACTGTTGCATATGATTTAATTTTTGCATAAAGTTAAAAGATTAAAAATAATGAAACAGGTTTTAAAAACAGACTTTTTCCATTTGATTCAGTTTTATGATGGATTATACAGAAAAAATAGAATTGGGCTGAAAGGTCTATTTCTTTATTATGTATTCAGGTTGTGTATCATGTTTTAAAAAGTAACGAAGTAACTAATTACTTTTGAAAATAACTAATCAGTAAAGTAACAGGATTACTTTTTTGGAGAAGTAATCAGTAACCAGGGGCGGAGCGTGGGGGTGGCTTACTGGGCTTAAGCCCGGGTTGTTTTATCAGAAGCCCGGGGTCTTTTGGAGTGTAATTTTTTCATAGTTAGATGTCTGGCTGACAACTGTATAAAACAAAAAGTCCCCCCTGATATTGGTATGATCCGAGCTCAGGCACTAAGCGACTGAGCGAGGGGGCGGGGCAGCTGCCGCCTGTGAGTGCGCTGTTGGAGAAACGGAGCCAGCCATACTAAGGAGAGCTTAAGTTTGACCAGGGCCCTATTTCAGGAAGCCGGTTTAGAAAACTCAGAGTGAAAAACGACACTCAGGGTTGAGTAACCCCGAACTGTCCAACTCGGAATATTCGGTTCCAGAAAGGCTGATAACAATTAGTTCAGTCAACGCGGAGTTGCTTTAACCCCAAGTTAAGCGCGCGCACGAGGATACATAAAGCCCTGATTAGTGGAGCACAGATTAAGCGAGTCACCATGGAGACGGAGGGAAAGAAGGCGCGGTCAATGTATTTTACAGCGCTTGAGGCCGAAATTCTGATGGCAGCATATGCCGATAACATGCAAATTTTGCGGAAAAAAAGTAACGCAGCCTCAGCTGCAAAAGAAAGAGAGCATGCATGGCAAAACATAGCCGACAGAGTCAATGCGTGAGTGTTAATTTAAACATTGATCTAGGGATTTCCACCCATTTAACACGTTATTTTATTATCCATCCATCCATCCATCCATCCATTCGCTTCCGCTTATCCTTTTCAGGGTCGCGGGGGGCGCTGGAGCCTATCCCAGCTGTCATAGGGCGAAAGGCGGGGTACAACCTGGACAGGTCGCCAGTCTGTCGCAGGGCTAACACATAGGGACAGACAACCATTCACACCTAGTGGCAATTTGAATTATCCAATTAACCTATCCCCACAAGCTGCATGTCTTTGGACGGTGGGAGGAAGCCGGAGTACCCGGAGGGAACCCACACAAACACGGGGAGAACATGCAAACTCCACACAGAAAGACCCCGGCCTGATGGTGGAATTGAACTCAGGACCTTCTTGCTGTGTGGCAACAGTGCTAACCACCGTGCCACCGTGCTGCCATTTTATTATATTATATTTTATTTTTTATTTTATAAATTTTATTTTGTGATGTGATGTGAGCGCAGGTGCAACCCAACAGGCCCCAAACGTTCCTGGCAGCAAGTAAAAATGAAATCTAAAAATATAGTCCAAACAGGTGAGGTGTAATTGTAGTATGAGCCATAGTGCTTGGTCTGTTTGTACTATATAAATCAATTGCAGTTAGAGGCTACATTAATTTTCTTTCTGTAAGCACTTATTGAAATTATCTGAGCACATTACAAGTACATATTTGCTTACTCTGTGTGCTCAAATGTGACCCGTTATAGCCAACAGAAAAAAAGCGGAGGCCCGAAAAACAGGTGGGGGTCCTCCTCCACCACCACCACTCACAGAGGCTGAGCAGTTGGCTTCCACATTTGTGATAATGTTGGCAGCATCACATATGATCTTCACAGTGCAGAGAACACAAATTAGCATCCATTACTATAATGAAATAATTTGTTAGTTTGAAATGCTACAGGGAACTATGTACCTGTACATTGATGCTGTGGAAAGACTTCCTGTTCACATAGTCTCCTTCATTTACTGAAGGAGCAATGATTGGAATGTGAGTGCCATCTATACAGCCAATCACGCCTGGGAACCCTGAAAATAAATGTAAAATTTAAGTAGTAGTCCAAGTATCACCACATCATGAATTAAGTTTCGTTCATCCTGATACCTGCAATTTTGTGGCATCCCTCTTTGATAAATCGTGTGGGTCTGTGACCGGGGAACACCACAAACGAGTACAGGAGACGTTTCAGTGCAACTGTAACATTCCTGACTGCCCGACAGACGGTAGCCTTGGAAACGTGCTCAGCGTCACCAATATTATACAGAAAGCTCCCGTTTGCAAAAAACCGAAGTGCAATACAAATAATATGTAATGAACTGAGAGGATGTCCGCGATGTGTCACATGCGTAATATATGGCCTGAGGATGTTATTAAAGTAAATTATAGATTGTGCTGAAAAACGGTAACGTTCACACAGAAAATCATCAGGAAATGATAAAATGTCCAAACGCGCTCTGATCACTCTCTCCCGGCGGAGAGCTCTGCGGAGAATTTGGGCTTCACGATCTACTGGCTCTTCAAGGAAGGGGCACGCCATGTCTGACACTTCCTACTGTCAGGTTTCCGACAAAGAGGCGTAGAAAGTTAGGGTTAGTTGAAGTAAACCTGCTAGGGGGCAGGTTAGCTTCACGGAGTGTGTCGTCATAGTAACTCACTCAGAATTAATCTAAACTCGCTTTGTGAAACCGACAACCCAGAGTTTTCGTTAACTCAGG